CAAAGACTCCATCATTGAGTGACATTGCACTATTTTTAAAAATTGAAAGAGATTGCACCAAAAAAAGTTTAAAATCCTAGAAACTTTTTTATTAATTTTTTTTAGTAAAATCTATAAAACTCTCTTAAATTTTATTGTGCACACTTGTTGGATTGCACCAAAAATAAATTTAAAGTTTTAAACACTTCTTTATTAACTTTATTTTGCTAAAATTTATAAAACTCGCTTGAATTTTATTATACACACTTGTTTTTTTTTTTTTAAATCAGAGATGCTTTTGTTAGGACACATATTCCAACAAGAATTTAAACTTTAATTAACTATATCTTAAGAGAATAATCCCTTGACGTGTAAACCATGAGTGAAGCTAGGCATTTTTGTTTTAGTTCTCATTTTATTATATTAAGTTTATAATTTATATAAACATTAAATGGTGAGTTGATAGACCTTGCGTCAGTTTTTTTTTTTTTTAAATACAAGGTCACAATAAAATCCGTGTAAAAAAAATAGCCTAAATCATGTCAGCATATAAAAAGTTGTTACAATCAATCTGAGGGATATAACAATTTGAACTTCCATATTATGAGTTGAGGCTTGGTAAGCCAAATTAATTAGCATAATTATTTATCTTTCTGAAAACATGGTCAAAGCTGAGGAACTCAAAGTAAAGTGCATACAAAAGGAGAACTTCCTGACATGGGAAAAGTATATTATTATGCATAGACCAACCATTGTGGGACCACACTACAAACATAATGCCAAAACTATACATTTTGTTTCAGGCTTGTTAGCCCATATACGTATTTCTCATTCCCACCATATTTCATCAAATGTTGCTCTCATAGTATTCAAGTTTCAGTTTAGTCATTTTCCAAGCATGCATTTAAAGTGTTAGTCACTTTATAAGTGAGAGCGTGTGTACATTAGAGCAAGAGGCAAGAGGCCCTTTTTTTTTTTTTTTTTAGGGTGATAGAGATAAGAGGCGCTCTTTATTAACCCTCCATTAAGGACGAGAAAAATAGTGAGGTGAAAAATTTTAAAGAAAAATATAGGAAAAGAATATATTTCATTAATATTTATTATTATTATTATTATTATATTTTCTGGTGATTTAAATTTTTAAATTTTCTTAAAAAATTTAAGTTGATTTTTTCAACTTTATACGTTTATATTAGGTAAAAATAATCAATAATTTTTATAAATAAAAATTAAAAAATAATAATTTTAATCCTAAAATTAGTTTTATAAGAAATTCATTTTAAATAACGATAAATATATTTTTTGGTGAATAATAAAATTATTTTCACATTGTTCAGAAAATATTTTCAGGTTGGGCCGAATCCGCCCTAACACCCAAACTAGTACATTGGCCAGGTACTAGTTTGGGATGAAGCTCGAGTTGTTTGCGCCAGTGGGTCCATAAATTTTTAGGACATTATCAATCACGATTTTATTTGTTTTTGTTTTTATTTTGATTTCAATGGCCCATATAGGTCCAAAAATTCAATAATCAGTCCATTTATGTATTTTTTTTATTTTCTATAATCTTTTATATCATTTTTTATAATTTTCTGATCAACTAACAACCAAAATTAATTTTTCTTAAAAATAGTGACAATATTGCTTGTATTTTTTTAAAAAATTAAAAGGAAACATTACACTAAAAATAAGTTTAAGGTCCAAGATACTCATAAACTTATAATTTAAAGTTGAAATTACCTTTTGATCAAAAAAATATTGATATAAAATTTGAATAGGATATATTGAAACTATTTATTATTATTATTATTATTATTATTATTATTATTTGTCTATAATATTAATATGTAAAAAAATTAGTTTTTATTTTTAGTATAATTATATAATTTATAAAAAAATATATTTTGTGCTTGATTATTTTTAGATTTTATTTTTTAAATAGAATGCATCTTTAATTTATTACCTTTTTCTTTGAGTTAATGTGCAAAATGGACTTTGAAGTATGGCGCGAAAAGCACCTTAGACCCTAAATTCGTAAAATATGCGCAATGAATTCTAAACTTTTAAATTCATAACAAATTAAACCCTATCGTTAACTCACCATCAACGCCATTACTATTCACTCAGAGGGATCTAGTCAAAATGCTGATACATTATTTTTTAATTAGCACCATAGACCTTAAACTATCACATGATAGGACGAGTAGTATCCTGGATCATGAACTTTTAAATTCAGAGAAAATCACCCCATCGTTTATGTGTAAAACACTAACTATTATGTAGACTAAATTATCCTTGGTGTGGTCTGCCATGGTGAATGCATCGTTAGTTGTGATAAATAATAAGAACCGAGCTTGAAAGCTCAATTTAAATAAAGGTTCAAGTTTTAAAAATTAATTTTTTTAAAGTAACCGAGCTTGAAGGCCTGATCTTAATAAGCCCTGTGAAAAGAAGCTTGGGCCCAATGACCCTTCAAACCCTAATAAGCCCAATTATCTTATATGTATACATATACATACATATATTTGATTAATAAATGACACAATTTGATTAATATTTATTATATGTGATAAAGAAGAAGCTATAGAGATAACTAACATTAAATCTCCACCTCCATCTTCAATAATTGAACTTACATCTGAGAAATTTAATATTTTATTTTTAAATGATGATTAGGAGGATTTAGATTTATATTGATGAAAATTTTAATCTTCATCTTAAATTTAAAATTTTTAATCTATGTTGAATTTAATGTGAGACTTTGATTTGTTTTATGTTAAAATTTAGAATATTTTGTTTAAATTAAAATGTTGAAGTTTTTTAGGAAAGATGGCTTAAGAGCCCTATCCTGCGCCCTATAAATAAGGGTCAAGCCTCAAAATTAGGTCAAATTTTGGGTAATGAGATTTTCAGGCTTGAACCTTTAAGGGTTGAGCTGGCCCTAATTCCCACCTTTACAAACAATCCATAATTTTATAAAATAACATTTTTTTTGCAATGTTTTTCAAACCCAAATTAATCGGTTAATTAAAATCTTAAACTTTTTTTCAAATGGAATCCCAAGTTTTCACCATTAAATAAATAAACATTATTTAAAATAAGATTAAATTAAAGGTATAGAGTATATGAAAGTATGAGATAGCAATCGTTTGAAAAATATTGCAAAAAGAGAGTAAAAAATGTCATTTCATAAAATTATAAGTTATTCGTTGTGGTCAACAATACATTCACTACGGTGGACCACGCTAAAGCTAATTTGGTCTATATAATAGTCAGTATTTTACACAAAAGGTGGGGGTAATTAGGTCTAAATTTTAAAATTTAAGATTTAGGATGCTACTCACGCAATAACTTAGGGTCTATGGTACTAATTAAAAATAACATATCAACAATGGACTATCACAACAGCATTTTGAATAGGCCCCATTGAGTGAATAGTAATGGCGTTAATGGTGAGTTAACAGTAAGGTTTAATCTACTATAAATTTAAAAATTTAGAGTTTATTTTATACATTTTAAAAATTCAGGGTCCAAAATACTTTTTGTGCCATACTTCAAGGGTTTATTTTGCACATTAACCCTTTTTCTTTCTTACAATATTAATAATTGAATCAATTTAAATTTATAGCTATTTGAATGATATCAACATTGGGTTCGAACTAAAGACCTCTTCTAAAAGAAAGAGGTGGTATTATTACTAGGATAATTAACCGTTGACCATTTTTATTAAATGATACATGGATGATATGATACACTAGGCCATACAAAAATTTCTCTCCGTGTACATGGAAGTGAAGAAAGAGCGACTACCTGGGAGTATGTATGAGACTCTTCAGTGCAGTAATCAGGTATTAATGCACATTAATCTGCTTCAGCTTGTACGATTGGAGAAATTCTTAGGTGCCTTGGGAGTATCAGCTAATCCATTCACTGTCCAATCACTTTGCATCAACTCATCTTAACATAATCCTCATTCTCTTTCTCTTGAATATGAGCCAACTTGGCCTATATAGATTAGCTCATTTGAATTGAAAAAAATATAGATTGGATTGGATTCAATCAAAAAATATGCTTAAATAATAAGTTTTAATTTAATATTTCTTCATGATTCATTCAAAATGTACTAAAATATTAATTTATAATATTTGTATAAAATATATAAATTGATATAGCTAAATAAATCATGCCTAATATGGTTTATATTCACAAAATTTTTTTCTTTTTTTAATCTTTTTAAAAATAATATGAGTTAAATGGGCCAATCTTAACCTATTAAGCTTAACTCATATGATTCATAGATTATATGGTGTGGACCTGAAAAAATTTATTTTTATTTAGATCAATTTTTTTCAACCCAACCCGACCTTTATAATCAATTATTAGAGCCAACTCACATAACCTGACCCATATTCTCAGCTTTGCTCTTCCATGACTTCCCCTCCGTTGACCCCTCCCGCTTATGCACATATGAACCGTCTAGATTAACCTAAGCAATCATAATTTAAAATTTTAATTTTTTATTTTATATTTATTAAAATAAAAAAATTATAAAAAATTTGAATAAATTTGCTAATCACTAATCAATACAATCAAAATTTATCATAGATGGTTTAATTTTAATATTAAAATATTTTATAATTTTTATAAACCATCTATACATATCTACTTTGACCAGTTTAGGCTTAAAATTTTTTACTTGTGATTTTTTAAAAAAAAAATTATAGTTCTAGGAGATTATCTTTATTCTTAGTATTGTATATTTGTATTATCAAAACAAAAATTTATAAAAGTAAAAAATAATAATATTCAATCTGCACTATTTAAAATAAATTTATACAATAAATTTATAAACATCCTTGTTAAAATCTCATTTCTATCCATCCATAATCCATTCCTGATTTTGCGCGTGTGACTGTCCCTGTCATATATTAAAGTATTGTACTTCCACGCAATAGGGACCAAAGCTAAGTCTATACTCTATATATATATATATATATATATATTTATCTCTACTCGTCTTCATGACGTCTAAGTTTCTTCTGAAAATGGATGCGAGGGAGATTAAAGAAGGATTTCCTGAGGTGGAAGTAGCTGCTTTTGTGTGTGTCTATATATGAATAGAGAGAGTACAAGAACCGTTTGAGGAAAGGCATTGATATAAGGTATAATAAAATATCATCTTCAATCGGAACATGCTTGTGGACTACAATTATGCCCAGGAAATTTCCCCTAGCCTTCCCTAATTTGCTCGTTCATAATCTATTGAGTTTTGTTTGTGTTTTAGAATCGGAAATATTGATCGAACACGGTTCTCCAAGCCTTTCTCTCTCCCACTACAAATATCCCTTCATACGCAATAAGCTCATCATCTTCATCACCTTCCTTCTTCCTTCCTCTGCAACTCAACAAAGCTTTTATAGCATAACAAATCAAGTTAATCATGACCAAAAAAATTTCATGAAATAATTGGCAACGGCAAGAAAATAAGCACTACTATAATTAAAACGTTTAGATGCGCTTGATTGTTGAAGGAGGGGAGGTTCCCACATGATGTGCGGGGATTTTGATTGGAGTTACAGGCTCAAATACGGTAGACCTGATCCACCTGATATTATTCTCTACCCCTATAAATCTGTAATCGCCTTCTTCGTTTCTTCATACCCCAGCTTCCTCCTTTCTCTCCTTCTCCTTCTGAGCTACCCTTTAGCTTTACGTGATTCTGTTCCTTTTCTTCTTTCTTTGGTATTTTTTCAGATCTTCTTTCTCTGTCCAGCCACATGATGCTCTTCCTTTTCAGTGTGCTGATGAAGATGGGTTCGCTCATGCCGCAAGGGTTCCAAATTTATCAAAATTCTATCTATCTTTCCAAACAAATTTCTCTCGAGATCTCGGATCTCATCATAGGTACGCCATTGGATCTATCTTCTGGAACAAGTTTGGACCTTTTCTCATTGTCGTGTCTCCTACCAAGTTTACTTCTCTCTTGCTTTTTCGCAGAAGCACTGATCTGTGAGCTTTTAGTTAACGGGTTTTGAATTATTATTATTATTATTTTTTTTTTTTGGTGAAGCTAATGTTGCGTGTGAGAAGCTAGCAGTGGTGGCTTTCAGTACGAAGCTTGCAATGGTTCTATGATCCTAATTTTCTTAATACGATGGTTCTATGTAGTGGTGGAGGGAGGGGGATCAGCAAGGCCCTAATTTTTTAAAATTTTCTTTGTATTATATAAGTGCTGCATGCTTTCTGCCATCTCAAAATTTATGAAAAACCTTATAGTATATATATTTTCAATCTTGACCCCTTTATTCTTAAATCCTGACTTTGCCCTTGGTTCTATGATCCTAATGAAGGTACAGTTGCTAGGACATGCTCTAGTTTTCTTGCTGAGAGATTGCAAGTTCTGCTGCTCAATGAATCGCCGCTGACATGTGTCTCTTAATAATGGCCATGCAGGCATCAAGAACCAAAATTGTATTTGAAGGAAATTTAGAAGAAAGTGAATAATGGAAGTGAAGGTAGAGTTGGAAGAAGAAGGGGGTTCATGGGAGAAATAATAATCGAAGATGTAAAAGTGGAAGGATACAGCACAAGTATTTCCATGGCTTCTCTGGGATGTTCAGTGACATATTACTTGGCTTCTACAGCTAAGTCCATGTTTTCTGGTTTTGCTTCTCAGTCTTGGAGTTGTCTGGCTGTTGCCACTTTGATATCCATGACCCGGCAACTTCCACGGTAGTCTGTGCTGTTCAGTGTAACATCAATAGTAGGAAACTAGGAATCATTAAGGTGGTACTTTTAAAATGAAGCTAACAAATTTCTATTTTTTTTTCATTTTTAAACGCTTAATTTTTACCTAAGTCATGAACCAAGCCAATAAAGTCATTATTAAAGAGGAAGTGGAGCTCATATCTATTTACAAACGTTTATTTCATTTTAATAACCTGTGAAGAAAATTTAAAAAAAAAATACATGCTTTTAAGATTCTTTCCGTCAATGTTTGTACTCAAAAGATCACTAAAATTTTCAAATTTAAACTCAATGTACTGTTAAAAAACTAAAAATCAAAGTGTTTTTGGACCGGCTAAAAAATTGTTGAATTAAAAGGGCGTGTCGGGTAAACTCAGATCGGTTATACTATATATGTTAGAACAAAATAAATCACAGAAGGCTGCCATTTCATGCAAAGAACATATTGTTAGATCATCATCTTCAGTTCATTAAGTATTATAGTCAAACAAAATTTTTGGCCCAAAAGACAAAAAATCAACAAATGTGGAGTCTTTTAGACCATAAAGTTAAATAATATGGGAGTTTGAGAAAGCAGCTAAAACACAATATTGCATCATGCAAATAATATAATATTGCCTCACAATTGTCAAAGTTATTTCAACAAATCATAATCATACAATATTTATTCCACACAAATATACTCTTGATTACAATTTTTGAAGACAGCAGAATGTCTTTCTCCAAACAGAAGAACAAAAGAAAGAAAAAATAGTGATGGAACTCAATACTGAGCCTTAAGCACTTGAAGTCCAACTTCAAGGTTAATGTAGAATCCTTTCTAATGCCATTGGGCAATTTTGTTTGCCAGTGAATATCAAAAGCCTACGAGGGAGATATTTGTGCAGGAAGCCACCTTTTAAAGGATAAGCACTATAGCCTACAATACTCAGCTTCATTGAGACATTAGATTCTCATCTAATTAAAGGTGCTGGGTTTCTTCATGATGTTGTACTATATATTGCAAGGAGGAGTTCAGTAGTGCGGATTGCTTTTGTGTTTCTGTCCAGTCTTTCGTTCAACCATCTCTAGTTCTAGTTTTGGTACTTAATGTTATCATCAACTCACCTGCGTTAACAATGATCGTCCATATATCTTACTGTTGATTTTTCAACATTATTGCCTTATGTTCTTGCGTAAAAGCTAACAGTACTCAAAGTCCAAATTAACCTTGTATGGTTTTTCCGTTTTTTATTTATTTCATTTTATTTTAATGAAACTGATCCTTATTTCAAAAAAAAAAAAAAGTAAGGTGGTCGCACCAACTGTTGCAGCTTCTTGATCATCCACCAGCCCAGTTTGATAACGTCGTAGCCAACTTAATTGCAGCGTTTTGATGTCCACGTACGCTATCTAAACCTTCCCTGGCCTTCGTTATTAAAAGAAACATGTCAGCATAGCGATTCATTGAGCAGCATAACTTGCAATCTCTTAGAAAGAAAACTAAAGCATGCATGTCTGGTGTAATTAAATCAGTTACCTTCATTAGGACCATAGAACCTTTGTATCAAGAAAATTAGGACCATAGAACCTTTGCAAGCATATGACCAGCTCGTGCTCGGCCATTATTCCAGCACTTGCATAGGGATTAGGCTTCGTACCGAAACCCACCACTGCTAGCTTCTCACAGGCATCATTATTAGCTTCACCAAAAAAAAAAAAAGAAAAAAAACCCATTAAGTTTAGACAGATCAGTGCTTCTGTGAAAAGGCAAGAGAGAAGTAAAGTTGGTGGGGGAGACAAGAATATATGAGAAAAGGTCCAAACTTGTTCCAGAAGATAGATCCCGTGGCACTCCTATAAGATCCGAGATTATGAGAGAAATTTGCTTGGGAAGATAGACAGAAGCTAGATAAATTTGGAACCCTAGCGCCATGAACGAAACTCCTAACTCCTGGAGATCATGAGGATCTCTGCGAGCTCGTTGCTTCGCCATCTTCAGTTAATAAATTGAAAGGCAAAAATAATGGAGGCTGAGAAGGAGAAGATGGAGAGAAAGGAGAAGCTAGTGTTTGATGGAAGCTTGGTTGTGGAGAAATGAAGGAAGTGACGAGTGAGATATATAGAGAGGAGAAGGAGTTGGAGAGCGAAAGCGCGTGGAGAGATTCTGAGTTTCAGAGGAGTTGAAGATGGGAAGAAGAGAAGATGAAGTAGGGCTGCACAAAAGACTGGACAGGACTGGACTTTAGCTTAACCCGAAGTCTGATCCTTTTCATAAAAAGGACTGGATTAGGTAACCCGTAGTCCGGTCTGGTCCTGTGAAAACCCAGAGATTAACAATACTGGACTTGATCCATAGGACTGGAAGACTGATCCTATTAGTCCAATACTCACTTGGCCTTTTTTTTCTTTTTTTTTCTCTATGATGACCCATAATCTATTTCAACTTAACAAATTCAATTAAGATAATAAAAATACTTATAATCATAATAAATCCATAATAATTTCTAATACCAAGAAAATAATATTTTAGTTACAGTCCAAACTCCAAATGATTTAAATACATAACTTCAATAAAAAATCAGAGGAAAGACCAAAAATAGACCAAAGGAAAAAAATCAGTAAGAACCGAAGTAATAAAAATCAGCCCACAGACATGTTACTTCAAAGTTCGAACAGATCAAGATCAGAGTGCAAAATGCAAGGCAGGGGTTAGGGCTTTGATGCACTGAAGAAATTGAGAATGAGAGCAAAGTTGAGTGAGTGGCTGAGACGCTAAGTGCTGTTGAGTATCAGAGTGCAAAGTGCAAGGCAAGATTAAGACTTTTTTTTTAAGGCTTATTAATTAATAATTTATAAATTAATTTTAATTATATTAAAATAATTATATAGGATCAAACCGGACCACTTAGTCCAGATACTTGATCTCTAGTCTGGTCTTATCCAAAAAATCAGTCCTGTCTTTTTGGCATTTTTGGTCCTATAGGACCAGCATTTTATAGGACTAGATAGGATTGGATTTTCATGGGTCGGATCGAACCGAATGAGACCACGAGACTTTTGTACAGCCTTAGGATGAAGTGAGTAAAGACAATAAAACAAAAATGCAAAAATATTATATGGATATTAAATGGTGAGATTATAGACTTTGGACGGAGTAATATTCTTCGTTGGAGTACATACAGAAACGGAACTTGCTGAGCGCAAAGTAGATTTGTGCAGACCAGCCATTGAGGGACCACACATAATGCTTGTTAGCTCATAGCTAGTCTCTTAGTAAATACAGTAGTTGCCTTCTCGTATTTTCCACCATATTCCATATCAAACGTTGCTTTCACAGCATTTAAGTTTTATTTTGGTGGTTGTGAGTCACAAACCATTTTCCAGTTATGGCTATATATATGTATATATATCCTGCCTAGGAATTCCCCCTTATTGCTTTGGCATGGCATCTCTCGTGAGGGATAAGTAAAGCGAAGTTTGCTTTGCAAAATAATTGAACCAAATTTGATGCCACGATGTTTGACAGTTTTCCCCTCAATTGTAAACACTTTTTTTTGTGCTAGGCATGACGTGATCTTGGTCACTTTGCATAATTTTTCTATCACTTTATATTCAAAAAATAATAATAATAATTGAACCGAAGCAAGTAGATAGAGTTCTGGATATGTAGTCTCATTTTTGCCTCTTCACTTGCACGGCTTGGTGATCTCTTTGGTCCTCATGTATCATCAGAGTGGTCCTAGATGGAGCCATCAATTAGAGTTGGTCCGGCTTAAGCTTAAAAAAATTTAGGACCGAGTCATTACTTTAAAATGTAAAATGATAATTTGGGCTTAAAAATGCTGATCATTTTAAACCTTAAAGTAAAAGAGCTAGGCCTTTTATAATTTTTTAAAACCCTAGTCTCATTTCATGGTGATAAAAAAGAAATATATAAAAAGCTTAATATCTTTGTCATTGTTGAAGTTTCACAAAGAAAATGATGAAATTGTATTGACGTTGATGATAATAAAAATCGTCAAGATTTCGTTGATGATGGTAGCAAGAGCAGAGCTAGAAATTTTTATTAAGGGGACCAAGATGACAAAGCATATATGATGATTAAAAAAAGTTATATGTATATATATATATATATATATATCACTGGCATAATATAAATATTTTAATATATATATTTTTCAATTTTACACATATATAGCAATATATATATATATATATATATATTTATTAAGTTTTGCTCATCAATTTTTCATAGGATAAAAATCATTAGTTATTATATTTATGATAAATATTTTACTAATTTCTTTCTCAATATAAATTATCATTAAATTGGTAAAAATTTTATCATCTTTATGAGTATTAAATAATTTAAATATATTATTGGAATCTAAATTTTTGTTCAATGTAATAAACTCTATTACTTGCTTATTGAATTTATTATTTAATTTTTTTAATTGATAATCATAGTAAATAAATATATTAACACATTAACACTGCTCAATTATTATAAAATTTTCATGTCAACGAGATCAAATTATATCAGAGTAAGAGCCATTCATATCAAAAATTTCAATAGCTTGATTATTTTAAAAAAAGTAATTTTTTTCTTGAAGAACATCTTCACCGAACCTCTTAACTTTTGAATAAGTAATTTTATAATAGATATCAAGCGCATAGCATTCAATATATCTTATAATTTTTGTTGCAGTGCTTAACAAAACTTGTTAATAATAATTCTCATAATTTCTTTCATTAAATATAATAAGAAGAAAAATAAAATGACACCAATACTTTAAGAGCATGTATAATATTATCTTATGACAATTATATCTTCAAGCTACTAAAATAGTTGCTTTATACATAAGTAAAAAACTACATATAAAATTAAAATAAAAATTTCATCTAGTATTTTATAACTTTTATAATGTGCCAACTTATAAGAGTCAAAAATATATAACTCCTGCACTTTATTAAAAAAATTAAAAAGTTAGGGGGCCTATGCCTCTGTCGGTCCCCCCCTCTCTACCCTCATGGTAGCAAAGTCTAACTGTTATTAATATTGATCTTGTGATGTTATTTTTTTATTAGACTTAAATTTATTTTTATAAATTTAATATTATGTGTAATAATTTCTTTAAGATTTTAAATATGTTTTTTAATTTTTAAATTAAAAAATAATATATATATATATATATATATATTGACTAAGGCTCTAAGGGCCAGGGTCAACTAACCAAAACTAAGCTTTACAAAATTAACACGTTTAGGGCCTAACTTTTCAATAGTCATTTACAATTGTCACCTTTAGTCATGAGAATTATGGAAGGGGAGAATTATGGAAGGGGATAAGCTAAGGGCTAGCATAAGATGAGACAGGGATGCCTTTTATGATATCCAACCACGTCCTAGGATATAACATTGGATTGTGTGTGAGATGCACGATGTGTAGCACCGAACTGCTGGTAATTCAAGCGGCTGTGGTTACTTGGATTGAGCATAAAATACTCAAATATTCAAAATTGTTTTTAAACTTATTCAAGTCAAATCTGAATATTTGAATTGATAATTTTTTTATTTTTCAGAAACCAAATTCAATTTTTACTTTTAAACTAATTATTTTATTATTAGAAAAATAAAATAACGCATTTTGGAATAATAAAAAAATTTAGAATACTCTATATAAAAATTTAAAAATCAATATTAAAATACATTTTAAATATATTTTTAAGATATTTTATAGATTAAAATAATAAAAATATAACAGTATTAATTTTTTTTTAAGAAATATCTATAATAATACACTTAGATATATGATTTCTTAGTATAAAACATGCTAAGAACTAAATGATTAACTAATATTTATTCTATATTATATATTTCAAAAAAAAAGTTATTATGCTATTTGGGTGTTTGGACATTGGCCTAAATATGCCCAAACATTGAAAATTTGCAATGTTGCCCAATTCAACCATATATGTTTTTCAAATTTATTTAAATCTAATCTAAATTATTGACTCTAGTGACATGCAATTTGAGAGAGGAACAGGTGCCCCATACACTTATAGACTGCTCCCTTGTTCTCTCACATTTGCACCCAAGAAACAAACATTCCATCTTTATTAATTATTATAAGATTTCGTTTTTAAATTATTATAATAAAAATATCACGTATTTTAACGTTTTAAATTTGTAATTACTAAATATTTTTAGAAAAAAATATCTTAATGATCTAGGGGGTGTAATTAATAAGATTTTATAATTGCGAGACAAACATGAAAACAACGTGTAATTTTAAATATCATTGACATTAACTAACTTATGGGGTTGTGATTTAGTTAAATGTCTTATATAATTTTGAATGGAAGGAGCATAGACAATGGTCCTTCAATAACGGTTGTCAACATGCGGGGACCTATGAAATTACTCCTCCTATTTTAATTGTGAAAAAAATTTTATACTTAATTTTATATATTTAAATAAAAAATATTTATTTTTAATTAAATTAAAATATATGATTTTTATATATATTATTTATTTTATAAAAAATATTTGGAACTTGAGCTTAAAGTTTAAACATTAATTTATTGAAACTTGAGTTTTTCTTTTCTTTTCTTTTCTTTTTTTAAAAAAATGGACCTTGGGCTTTGATAGAGTGATGTGAAATTTTGGTCATTCTCCTCCCACAAAGCTCCCTTTCCTCGAACCATGTGAGTGTGGCGTAGTGACTATCTCGCTTCGTCCCTTAAGCATATGGTGGGGGGTTCTATTTCTTACTCATGCGAATGGAGAACACTCTATGGCCAGCCGTTTGCCTCCTTGTGGGAGACCCCGCGGCGAAAGGATTAGTCACTGCTACCGGCAGTGGATACCTTAGGCAACCAAAAAAAAAAAAGCTCCCTTTCCTCGTCAACGCTTCTTATTGTTGAATTTTAGTAATTCAAAAATGATAAATTTATGCCCCATGGGATACACAAAAATAATTTCGTTTTTTAGGATAAAAATAAATAAAGATATTAAAAAATTATTTTTATATAGATATAAATATTCTCTCTATTTTAAAATATAA